TCAAAGACACCTGATTTACAATGTGTTTCTCGAGAGGAACAATGCACAGTGGCACCAGGAGTTATAACATGCTTTAAAAGCCTTCCACCAGTTGTTAGAAAGAACAATCAAATAATGGAATTCTATTGTCAATCTCATAAGAGAAGGACTTCATCCCCTGTGGTGTAGTGTCATCGACAATGAAAAAACAGACGTCTGTCAAATATTGTACCTGCAAACTTTGATGAAGGATCTGGCAAACATGGAATACATTTAACGTGTATTAATAGAAACATAGTCCAGCACAATATCCCGGAAATGTGTAGAATGAAATTTGTAAATTGCAAGTCTCATGCAGGAAAAGTTTCCACACAAAAAAAAAACATGACTGTCATATTCACATTCACAGTGATGCAGATTGGTAATATTATAAAAGAAGAACAGCCCTAGAGTCAAAAGATTTCAATAAGCAGCTTCACCCCACCATTGGGCATTAACTATATCTAGTGTAAAAAACCTGTTTGCAGTGGAGCACTTAGAGACCTACGCTATGAGATTTTATAGAACGTTAACTGAGAAGTGTAATAGATGAATATCCAGCAAGGTACAATGTGCACCATGGAAAAAGCATATAGCCATGCATAAAGTCATGGATACCTCACCTAGGCAGGTACCATGAATATATATCGAGCATCTACGTCACCAGTCTAATTGCTGGACAGGACACAACATTGTAGAGGGGAGCTTGATGTGTTGGAGATCTCTTAGGAATACAATCGAAAAATGGATTGCCTAATTTCAGGGATCACAAGTCCAGCAGTCCACTTTGTTTGCAAAACAAGACCAAAGCAAAACAGCAACCTCAACATCAGGTCAGCGCTCTGGCACACCCCCTTGCATTCAAGAACAGCCACTGCAATGTGTGAATTATCATTTGCCTGGGGTGTGGCTTTAAAATTTGGTCAGTTGTTTTACAAGGGATAAACAAAAGTATAAAAAATAAATTTGTAAACAATGCTTAACAAAACAAATACATCAAAAATTGTGAAGGTGGGTGGGAAATTGTTAGGACATATAGGACATGGTCATGAACTATGAACTAGAGGAAGGGAGCTGTTTCCCTCAGCTGGTATTGAAGCAGTTGACGTGCCAATCTGGCGTACAGGTGCTGGGTGTGTGGGGGTTTTGGGGCCACTCCAGCAAAAACCTGACTTGGGAATATTGTCACTGGAGATGGTGGGTGTTGGCAAATGCTGACTTGTGTTTCAAGGCTTTACTCTGTGGAAAGGCCCCTCTCACCTTGTCTCTGGAGAAAAGCTGACAGGAAAAGGCCAACGATTACCAAGGGGGATTGAAATGAGTCTTCCACCAAATGTTGTGGCCCCACAAATTTCAGTTGGATCCTCCTTCCCGGATGCCATTATTTTTACCCAGTTCGCATTGCGGTCTCTGCCCATGTTTGCTTAAGCAGGGCAGGGACGGCCTTGCGGGTAAAAGTAATTCTGAAAATGTTTTATGCCAAAAATGAAAATGCATAACAAAATTGTGATAGTGGGTAGAAATATGCTAATAAGAGGTAAAGGTGGAAGGGAAGCATGTGCAGAGGGAGGATGAGTTAGAGAAGTGAAAGGAGAGGCAGCAGGATGAAGAACAGTAGCAAGGCTTGCCACTTATTACACATCTGCCTCTTCTTTGAAGCCCTCCCTTCACCTTGGCTGTAGAACCTCCTCCCTCCATGTGTTGCTGTCTGCCCTTCCCCCTGCGCTGTGGATGGCCATAGGTCTTCCACCTGCAGCTATTCCTCCAGTGGTTGACCTCTGCTGTGGGCATCCCAACCATTGCATCAATACCAAAAATACAGAAAAAAGTAAATACATATGAAATTTAATAACAAAAATAAGAAACTTATATAAGTAAAAACATGAAAAACAAATAGATGGGAATCTGGTACTAATATTCTAATTTCCACTTAATAATAGAGGGCAGGAGTTGCTACGCAAAGAGCTTGGACAAAGTGGGGCTCTGACCATCAGATTTGGGGGTGGTTATAGTTAACTTTTTTCTGCTACTCCAGATGGTAGCTGATGCCTGCTGCCATCTGGAGCTGCACTGTCCTGCCACTGTACAATGTTTATGGCTATCATCTGTCATATAATACACTCTAATTTCTATTGCAAGGTAAAACCTGCCTTGTATCTTTCTACTTGCTGCCTTTTCAAGTGCTCAGGTACTGTCCCGATGCTAGCTAATTTCTACCAAACACGTACCTGAAGTCAATATTTGGGGAATAATTGGAGGTTTGCCGCTAAGTTTTGTTTTCTCAAAAAGCAAGATTCTAATCAAATCCAAACAAATTTGCTCAAGTATAAAACCAGACTGCCTGCACATATGGGGATGGGATGCTGCAGTTAACTACAACTATACTAAAGGTAAACATCCAGACCTTTGCTTGAGTTTTGCATCTGGCCAGCAGACTGTTTGGGTGGGTTCAGGGCAAAATCAAATTGTTGCAGTCAGAGAGAGTTACATCCCCTACTAAATAACCCTGTATATCTAATATAAAAGAGAGTATATCATTAGCTTATTGCAGGGGCTAAAGAATCAACATATTTAAACTATTATGAACTGGTTTGTTTACACTAAGAATGCATTTTTTCTGCATGCTTTAACTTTGAAATCTATCACTGCTATGTTCATGTACTTAACCATTCAGGTTTTTCTCTTAAGGCAAATTGTTCAACATAAAGTGCATTAGCACACAGCAGCCAACCAGAAATCATATTTAGGCTAGGTTCACACGTGCACCACACTGCGCGACACCCGGGCCGCGCAATTGTGTGCTAGTGCACACAGCGATTGCCTTGCGTCCCCATTGATTTCAATGGGGTGACATCCGCGCGGCAATCGCTAAAAAAAGCGATTGTACCTTTTTTTGCGACACAGGGCGCGCGGCTTTTTTGCCCAATCCACATGGCGCGACTGGGGTGCCATTAGAAGATAATGGCACCCACAGCACGATCAGTTCACACCTTGGCGACTCCCGACCGCGTGGCAATCGTACACAAAACAGAGCGGATTACCAAGCGGTCAGGGGTCGCCTAGGTGTAAACCTAGCCTTAATTGTGCTTCCCGCTCAGCATTAACTGGTTGCTTTGGGTTACTGTACTTTACACGTAACCACTGCACTTTTCACTTTACAAGCAAACCTTTACCAGCAAACCTTTTATTTTTTAGGTTTCCTATGTCTATTTATTACTATTGCATATTATATTTGTATTGTATTACTATTCCAAAATTCTTTAGTGTAATTATAACAATCGATTTAGCACCCCTGATCTATACCTCTGATTCCTTTTTGTGTATTATATTTGAATTCATTGGCATCCACCAGTTCCTCGAGAGAATGCTAGCTAGCGGTTCCTTGATACTTGAGCAATTTCATTTCAGCCTGTTTGAAATCATCTCAAGAAACCACTGACACCAATCCTTTTTTAGTTATCTGCAAGGAGAGCATTCTTCCCAATAAGCTCCAATGTAAGGAACATTATTCCCAATGATCACCAGTGTAATAGCGTCCTTCTCCTATTGATCACCAATGTAAGTGAGTGCTCTTTCAATGACCACCACTAAGATTGTCCTTCTCCACTGACCACCAATCTAAGGGAGCTCTTCACTGACCACCAGAAAAGTAGGCACTTCACTGATCACCAATCTAATGGGGCATTTTTCCACAGACTACTACATTTTGCACTGCCTGAATTTATTTTCTCCCTATTAATATCATCTATTTTGCACCATTATCATTACATGAAATTGTGTTACATAGATCAGCCGTGGGTCTTATAACTCAGTTCACTGTTCACATCAATGTACAGTGAGCTGTAGATATTTTAATTATTAGCAAGAGTTCCCTGAGACCCAAAAGTTATTTCAAAGGTTCCTCCATGTTAAAAGGTTAAGAAAGGCTGGCATACACCCTCAAAAAAAAGAACATTGAAGCTGGCTGGATAGCCACATGCTACCTGTAAACACTATCACAAGAGAATACAAATCTGTAAGCACAACCAAAGGCAGTAACAGGTGCTCTATTAATGTCATATGCAAAGACCATCGCCTCCATTTATCTAAAGAGATCTGATCCTAAAAGTCAGTATATTACTTAGAACTTGCTTGTAGCTAATGTGGAAAGCAGTGTTGACAAAGAGACTTGCCAAAGTTTGCACTGATTTTCCCATTATAAAATGAACAAAGAGGTTTTTACCACCTGTAAAGTCCCTGCTGAGTATGATAAGTGCAGCTGTCAATACCAGTACTTACAGCACTGAAAATTAGTCCTGGGGATACAACGTGACTGACAGGGCTATTTCACACAGAAAACCAGGCAAAGATATGTATGTACTCCTAGAACCTGGCAAATAATATTAAGCACCTAAACCTGACATTCACATTCACTGAGGTTAACTGTACCAATTAATTATCTTCAGCAGTTCTTGTTAGTATTATGAAATAAAACCTACAAATGATCCCAGCAAGGCTTCTCTTAGCGACAGGTGCCCTTTTCGATAGTGTTTTATGGGATTCGCATCTACAAACAGAATCACCAGACCCCACAGGGTGATGGAAACCCATTAACAATAAAGATCTCAATTCTCATTACCACTTTACATTGTTCTCTTTATTCCATTACATGACAATGGCTTTACTCCAGCAGATCAGGTTATGCAGGTTCATCACCACCTGTCATGCTTGTCACATACAAAAGTGTTTACACCAGTTTAATTTACTCTAAGACTATATAGATAATAATAATAAAATGTATAATAATAATCCACTTGCCATGCTTGTGACATGCAAAAGTTACTCTCATTTACTCTAAGACTTTATAGATGATAATAATATTAATAGTAATGATAATATAAATAATAACATTCCGCCTGTCACATACAGACAGGTTTAGATAGTTGATTTACTCTTAGACTACAGATGATAATAATAATAATAATAAGAGGAAGAAGAATTACCAGCATGTGAAAGGAGCAGGATGATCCCCACTGGGAGCATGATGGAAATTCCCAGGTAAGTCTTCTCTAGTCCTCAGCTTAGATCATGCACAGCATCATTTATCTGCAATGGGTAGGGGATTTTAGTCCCAGGAGTTCCTATTAGGAGGTAGGATCCAATGAGTAGAGGAGAGTCCAGTTTTCCAGTCTCGATGTCTGTAGAAATCCAAAGTAAGCTGTATATACCAGAAGCTGCTTTAGCCCAGCAAATCTGTGATGATTTAGTTGATCCAGCCCCTTCCAGGGTGAGCTGTCAGTGGTACAGTGTGATCGGAGGCTGCGATGTATGCTCCGATGATTGAACGTAGTAGTTGGATGTCCCAGGCTGTGGAGGGGAGTAGTAGTGTCATATCCAGTGTTCTCTCCTCCACTCCCTGTGTGCTCCTCCCATCCCTGACTCCTGACAGCTCTGTCACAATGCTCTTCGGATCTCACACACACAATAGGATTGTCCCCCTGTTGTTTCTGAACAGTGAGGGTGGTAAAGAAAAGGGAATAGTATAAAGGATTGTTCTTAGTATGGGTGATTGGTACTACGGTAATAACTTGGCTTGTCTCTATGAGTGAATACTCGGTGATCCAGCTTGACACTTCCTATTTTCCGAGACCGTGCTTCTTGACATAGCAAGGAACCGACTGAGTCTACTCCTATATTAGTCTGCCCTTCACAGGCTTTTCACCTTATCCTATTTGCTTGTCTTCTCTTTTATTTCAATCTCTCCTTACATATCAGTCTTTTATCTCTTCTTTTCTGTACTCATTCACCCTTTTCTGTCATTCCAATCCATTTCTCCCCCTCGCATATTGTGCCTATGCTGGCAGTTTCTTTTATTCTCATTTCACCCTTTTGTATCTACCTTTCTCATTCTCTATTTCTCTTTAATCAATTGTACACTGTCTTTCATTTTACCCCCCATTTTGTTCTCCTTTCTCTTTTCTCTCGCTCCCCTCATTCTCTTCTCTCTTTTTCTGGCCATCTATTCTCTCTCTATCACTCTCCCTTCTACTCACTCTCATTCTGGCATCCTAATTTGTATAATAACAAAAAATAATATTGATAATAAAAACAATCATCATAATAATAACAATAATAATAATGTATAATAATAATAAAAAATCTCTCTTTCCACTCTCCATTTCTCTCTCTTCCTTTCTCCCTCTTTCTCTCTCTTTCCTTCCTGTCTCTTTCTTACTAACTCTCTTTCCTTTTCTCCCATTTATCTCTCTTTTTCTTCCTCTCTCCCTTTTATCTCTTCCTTTCTCCCTTTTATCCCTCTCCCTCTCTCCATTTTATCTCTTTCCCTCTCTTCCTCTCTCCCTCTAACATCTCTCCCTCTCTTTCTCTTACCCTCTCTTCCTCTATCCTTTTTTTTTACTGTGTACCACTTCTAAGAGGAAATTAAGCAATTTGGAAAAAAGATCATCTACTTCCAGATAATAGCATTATAGAATTATGGGGCAGAAGCTGTCAATTATTTAATTATTTATTTTTTGTAATTTTTTTATAAATCACTTTAAAGTTCACTTTTGATTTAAACATCGCCAAAAATGTACGAAGTTCTCATGTTCACATCATTTGTTTTGTTTTATTTTTTACAATGAAGGTAGTTCTTTATTTTTTGGAAAGCATTTCTGTACTTTCATTTCTTTCAGTTCCTGGAGACGAGTTCCACTTTGAATGGTAACAGTTACATTCTTCATTAAAGGAGAACTATCTCCTAGGGTAACGGGAGGACGCTAGTTTGTGTCCTCCCGTTACCCTAAGGAGAACTATGGGGAAAAACACTGACCCCATAGTTCTCCTTTTCTTACTGGTCAAACCAGTTCTCACACAAAAAAAAAACATGGAAAGTGGACATTATTATTATTTCTGTGCTCTTCCCATCAAAGGATGTATTTCAGGTATTAGTCACAGAGAGTATGGGGGTGTTCTCATTCTGTTCAGGGTAGATCAGGGTATGACTAGAACGTTTGGCCTGGAGGACAAACACATCCAACTGTCCCTTTCCTAAAGAAGGTTGTTTATTTTGACGCAAGTTTTAGACATTTTCCAGCATCAGCTTTCATTGCAGCTCTCAGAATTCAGTAACATGACAGCTCAGAGCTGCAAAAAGAAGTTGGTACTGGAAGACTTCCCTCTGCCAGACACTGTGACAGAGGGTAGGTATATAATGCCGAGCATGCATCATTGGCTGTGGGTCCAACTCTAATTAATGTCTGGGAGGCAAATGTCTTTCGGCCCAGAAGTGAATGCTATCTTTATCTTAAAATTGCTATCAGGGTTATTCACAAAAAGGTGAAGAGTTTGGAGAAGGCAGGAGAAGTGAACAATCTAGGACAACATAGCTGAACCGACAAGTAAGCTGAATTGGAGAATGTTTCAAAATCAGCTATTTTGGCCTAGATTGTTCACTTCTCCTGCCTTCTCCAAACTCTTCACCATTTTGTGAATAACCTTGTATGTTTTCTATGTTTTCTATATCCCATTCTTCCATTCTTTAAACCTTTTTTTTGTAGCTGTCATCCAAACCGGTGCTGGCTCAGTGTTTAGCTATTCTACCACTCTTAACTCTGGTCTAAGGACAGACAGGGTAAACATTGGAAACTGCCTTTAAGTCATCTAAAAGATGTAATCCTGATTTTTTACTTTATAGGGGGCTATAGGTAAACAGCTAAATACAAAGCTGGTATATGGTGGTGAATTGCTTTACCTGCAAAATGATTTGTAATTTTGTACTTCTGCAGAGCCAGTCTTATGATTCAGGTAGCACTCCAAGACCAGAAACACATCAGAAGTGTAAGCACACAGTTCAGGAGTCACTGCTTTGAAAATGAGTTTTAATTGGCACATGTAGATTCCATGAAGCTCTGGCAGTCCAAGCACACCTAACAGTGCAGGCAGGTCCCGCTGCTACACCACTGCATCAACAGCTGAACAGCTTAGTCCAAAAAAAATTAAAAATCAATAGCCTGATAATTAGACAATGAAAGAGCAATTAGCTCTCCCCTCCTGTCAGTCTAACAGGTTAGTGCTGCCACTTCTTCTCCTTGTCTGAGTATTACCATGAAGAGGATTTCACAATTATATGAAAATAAATTCAGGTACTTATATCAGCTGTTAAAAAATGAATGTACTTTTATTTTAGTGAATACATGACTGTATCAACTGTTATATGTTCATGGAGTTCAGTTTCAAAGGTTACAAATTCAAGAAAAGGTTCATGTTGGGTAAGCGTTGGCTGCTGGTTGCTGGTTAATGTTTACTGCTTTGCACAAGTAATAATGTATTCCGTTCCTCTTCAGTCATTCCCCTGTCCTACCCTTCGTTCTTCCCTTCCTTTCTAGCCCTCCCCACACCCTCACCTTCTCCGGCTCTCTCATACCTCATGAGTCAGGAAAGGACCTGAGGATATCAATAAACATTGTTATCTGCAACTTTTCCGACGTAGCTAGGTATCCACCACTGTCCGTGTTTTACCCTGTACAGTTGTATAACCTGAGCCGCTTTTGTGTTTATGTCTTTTCATCTGTTCTTTAATAAAAACTTATTATACAAAAAAAATAATGTATTCCGTGTCACAGCTTAGATTCATTTAGTGTGTGTGAATAAGTTCAGTGCTACACTCCCTGCAGAGCTACGAAGAGAAAGTTATTCAAACTATTAGCATAAGTCAGTTGTTTCTCCGAGCCTTATGAGTTCAGTCATTGTCCCATATTCTTGTTTAAGTTTTGAAAAGACAGCGCTCAGGAAGTAACAAAACCCCTCAAAATGGCACAAAATACTTTCTATGGTAATTATTCATTGTGTTTTCTGCACTTTTAAATTCTTGCAATTAAATTGTCAGATTAACAAAACAGAGTGTGACTCCACGCTGGGCTCTCAACATTTCCTGCACAAGACATATGTATTCACTGGGAACCCTACTGAACACACTATACACTTGGCTTTAGTTATGTACATGGTAAGATGATACACAGCACGCTGGAAAAAACATGTCAAAGAAATTTGAAGAACAGGATGAGGAAATTTCTTTGATGCGGATTAGTGTTTGTTCATATTTTAGTCTACAGATCAATGCACTAAGAATGATATTGGCAGCTTGTAAAAGTGCTCACACATATAAAAGGACACCATACTGCATGTTCTCCCTGTGCTTGCTTGGGTTTCCTACAGGTACGCCAGTTTCCTCCCACACTTCAAATACATGCTGGAAGGTTGATTGGCTCCAGTCTAAATTGTCCCTTTATGTTTGTGCAACAGGGACCTTAGATTGTAAGATCCTTGAGGGCAGGGACTGATGTGAATGTGCCGTATGTAAAGCTCTGCGCAAACTGACAGCACAAAATACAGGTGAAACTCGAATAATTAGAGTATCGTGCAAAGTTCATTTATTTCACTAATGCAACTTAAAAGGTGAAACTAATATATGAGATAGACTGATTACATGCAAAGCAAGATATAAATGAACTTTTGACCAGGTGACCAGGTGGTATAAGAATGCAGATATCACCTACATATGGTGGCCATATGAAGAAACAGAAATCATTATATACTTTAGGGATCTATGGGATCAGTAAAGTAAAAAAGGTCAGTACTAAAAGTGCATAGGAGGTAAAATGCTCTCCCGGGTACATAGTAGATGTGCCCAGACAGTACAACTGCTCTTTACACCTCAGTAAAGTACATCTAAACCCTATAATTAAAATCTCATATAGGCTTTAACATGTTAATGTGATTTCAAAACTTATTTTCAATCTTTTTAAATCTGGAGCTTTTTGTAAAAGATTACTAATCTTATAATAATGGGGTGATTCATTGTTCAGTGACTTCCTGTTATGGTGTGACTACTGTCTCCCAATTGTGCTCCTTCATGGACCACCATTGTCACTAATAGGAAATTGGTACCAGACCAATTATGTGCAGGAAGTGGTTAAAGGAGGTCAGAGGAGATCAGCAGCACATAGGTTAAAAAAGATTACAACAGTATTTTATGATAATATGCAATTGTTAATGAAAGCAGGGCTTTAGCAAACTAAATATCATCCAGTTAGGGTTTACATCTACTTTAACACTGTCAAGATGGGGACTTTGCATTAGAATGAATACAGCTAGTATGAGTACCTG